ATACATTACGGACATCCAGAAGCAAATATTGGACCTGAACAATATTTGCAACTTCAAGGGTGCTTGTTCTTGGAGCTGAACTACCAGTATTATAATGAGTAATGTTAAAATAGACAAAGCACATTAAATAAAAATTTACAACTAATATACTGGGAACAATATGACTAATCATGATGAAGAATAGACAGTCTTTGTTGTAAAACAGACCATGTCCTTCAAGTAAAAAATTAACTGACGGTATGAAAATTTTATGACTGAATTTTCTAAGGGTATACCACATGTTTAAGGACTAACAGCTGTAAAGCATTGGTTATCTAAATATCCAAACGATAGAGTCGGAGTGATTTATATTAGAAAGAATCGATTTTATATTAGAAAACAACTGCTTTTATTATTTTATAATAATATACTCAATAATATTCATCCGAATATCCAATTTACAATGGAAACTAGTACAGATAGAATACCATTTTTAGACATAATGGTAATCAAAAACAGGAAAGTTATAGAATCTGATATATATTATAAAGATACTGATACTAAACAGTATCTCGAATTCAATTCGTGTCACCCCAAACGCATAAGAACGGCTGTACCATATAATTTGGCCAGGCGTATCTGTACCATTGTGTCTAACACAGCAACTAAATTTCAAAGACTAGGGGAATTGAGAGAATTTTTGTTCGCCCGCAAATATCCTTCCACATTAATTAATGACGGAATTCAAAGAGCTAGTAGAATACCGATAACGGAATTGAGGCAGGTAAAGATAAAAGATATAAATCACAATATAATTGCATTTGTCACCACCTTTAATCCTCACAATCCTAATTTTTCCAGCGTAATTAAAACACATTTTCCACTACTTAAGATAAAAAAAATGAAAAAACTTATTAATACACTAACGTTTATCCCTTCAAAAAGACAACCTAAAAACCTGAAATCACTGTTAACTAGGGCTAAATTTGAATCCTTCAGTCCAATTTAGGAAGTTGTAAAATGTGGAAGGGATAATTGCGGAACGTGTAGATATTTAATTGAAGGTAAATCATTTATTTTTGACAGTGGAAAAGAATTTTTTGTCAATGAAAGTATGAACTGTAAAGCAACTTATGTATTATATGTCATAAAATGTTGTGGCTGTGCCAAACTGTATATCGGTGGCACTTACAAGTTACAAAACAGAGTAACGGTTCATAGACAACATATCAAAGAACCAAATTTAAGGAAGATCCCTTTAAGTGAGCACCTTGATATCTGCGGTAAAGGCGAATTCAAAATGAGATTGAAGGAACAATATTTTATTGACAAATTTAAACCCAAATTAAACATTTCAAAATAATTACAATATTATGCTATATATATCTACTTCATTATTATTATTATATTATTGTATGTTTATTCTTCCATGACGTCAGTTATTGTTATTGTATGTCTTGACAAGCTTAGCCAAAACATGTTGACAATTAAACAAAAGTACTTTCTTTAGGCATTTTTAACCATTATTTTTTCTATAAATAATAGAAATACGGTTTCAACTTCATACATCCTTGAGACGAACAAGCATTTCGATATTCAATGATTTTTGGTAACTTGAACAGCTAAATCCATGGTAATAAATGTTTTGTATACTATAAACGTTAGCATGGGCCAAACAAATTCTGTTCTGATAATTACTCAATGAATTGTTACTCTTAATCAGATTTTAGTGTATTATAAATGTTTCATTACCAACAAAAGTAAAAATATGCGACAACTCCTATTGACTGCCCAGACAATTTAGCTGCTGTTGGCGTATGTTTCGTTGCCTGGCAACCTATCTTTTTATGTGGAGACTGCAATAACTTTGTTCCTGCTGTAGTGCTGTTTATGCATCAAGTTACCTAGTAATTGTGACCCCATTAGAAATTCGTTCGATGATTGGTTTAAGGATGCTAACTGTATATATTTGTGGATGTTTACATGTTCATGTGGACGTATAACTCTTTCTTTCCATCCGGCAATCCATCAACACTTCTTGTCAGCACAAAAGAAGCTACTATTTTTATCAAATTTTTGTCATACTTTCAAGAAACTTATATATTGGCCAAACCAGATTAATATGTTAGAGTTATGACCCTTTTTTGTTGAGAACTGTCGACGCTAACATTGCTTTATGACTAGACAAACATGTCTATTTATTTTCAGCATATATATAGATGGCCACAGATCACTAAAGATTTCCCCATTGACATTTTAATGTTAATTCTCGTATCTTAGACCGGCTCTAACTTTTCCCAAAATTTTGGTTGGGTAGAACGTTTACTACCACAGATGGAGCAACATGTGGCAACCTCTTGCCCAAAAGCACGTATGAGGTTCTTCATGAAAAACTTGAGATACACAAGCTGGAAGTAGAGACAAGTAAGCATGCAATTTTTGGCCCTACATTTCAACCTAACCAACCTCTCAACTCTTGTATCCCTACGCATCAAAATTAGGAATATTCACCAAAACCTTGCAGAAAATGTATTTTCAAACCCTTTTCTTCGATTCTACACCAAAAAGTCAACAAAAATCACCATGCAAAAGGGGAAAGAAGACTAAAAATAGCTTTGGCCTTTGTTTCGAGGGTGACAGCGTAGGAATATTTGGTGATCTGTGATTTATGACCCTTGATTTTATGTAATAATGACTGCATTGTATCTTCAGGTCTTGAGTTTTGTCCAAATTTCATGAAAGTTGTTTGAAAAATCTCTCTTTCTATCTCCATGGAAACAAATCTCATGTAGTTTTTGGTATACAATGTTAATTCAGGAGCATAAATAGATGCTTTAGCCTTTTAATCAAAATAACAGGAAAACGAAATTCATATTTCAACTCCTCACTAAGACCTGAAAAAGAATAATAATAGTTTTAATAAAAACAAGTTTTTCAGACTGAACAGCTTAATCCGAATAATAATACCCAGTGTGAAATACTAATAATGAGTTCTGTCTGACAGTTCTGTATAAGATATATAGTCAGTATAAGAGGTGGGAACTGTGTAACATACTGCAACACTTTATATCATACTGACGATATTTGAATCGAAAAACACCTAAACCTACTTCGCTAGGCCTACACTGTGTGCCTCAAGCTCATAACAAATTGTTAAAAATTCATTCCTGGATGAAGATATCAAATATAATCACTTATTAAAAAAAAAATGACCATATCAATGAAGTTTAAATCGAAAAACATCTACTAACTAGGCTAGGCCTATAGATACTACTGTAGGCCTACACTGTGTCAAACTCAAAAGTGTCATTCCCAAGTACATAAAAAATTTTTTTTAGAAAATTCACTCATGGATGAAGTCGTTACACATATCTATACAAACTAACCAAAACCGCAACACTTTATGCCGTACAGATGAAATTTAAATCTAAAAAACATCTACTATTTAGGCTAGGCCTATATTTGGGCCAACACTGTCAAAGTGTCATTCTCAAGTTCATAACAAATCTCTGAAAATTCATTCATCAAAAAATAAAATAAAAATAACCAATGACACGTGAATGTCATTAGGTTGTGAACTTCTCTGAACTACAATAACAATCTATAGTCACTTGAAATCGTTAAAAAAAAAACCGAATGATAGGCCACTAACATCACACAAGAAAGTGTTTTTACAGGCTTCCATCCACTACTTTTTACTTTCACTTTCCCCAATCGACTCCTTTCTGCATTTTTTGGAGAACCTGTGCATGTGAATCCCTTGCCTATCTCGTGTGTAGCATTTCTTGGCCCCACAACAGACCATTTATGTCATTTAAAAAATAGGCTACTATACAGACGATTCTATATAAAAAAAAAAAGGTTAAAAAAGCCTAAACAAAGTACTATTGTTTGTCTAATAATAATAGTCAAGTAAACAATAGTACTTTCTTTAGGCATTTTTAACCTTTTTTTTTTTTATATATGAACACTACTACGGTTTTAACTTCATACATATAGATAAAAATGCCTAAAGAAAGTACATGTTTCGCCTGAGCTTGTCAAGACATACAATAACAATAACAATGATGTGACGTCATGGAAGAATAAACATACAATAATATAATGATAATGAAGTAGATAATATATAATACATATATAGCATAATATTGTAATTATTTTGAAATGTTTAATTTGGGTTTAAATTTGTCAATAAAATATTGTTCCTTCAATCTCATTTTCATTGGTTCTGAATACGGCATCTTAAAGGGTATATTTCGAATTCGCCTTTACCTCAGATATCAAGGTGCTCACTTAAAGGGATCTTCCTTAAATTTGGTTCCCGGATATGTTGTCTAAGAACCGTTACTCTGTTTTGTAACGTGTTCGTGCAACCGATGTTCCGTTCGGCACAGCCACTACATTTTATGACATATAATACATGAGTTACTTTACAGTTCATACTTTCATTGACAAAAAAAAATTTTCCACTGTCAAATATAAATGATTTACCTTCAATTAAATATTTACACGTGCCGCAATAATCCCTTCCACATTTTACAACTTCCTTAATTGGACTGACGTATATATACGTAAAATAAAGTAAATGCGTCCATTCTAGATGATTATTTTATTACTGACATGTTTCATACAATTTTCAAAGTAATGTAGGTAACTACATTATCTAATATTATCTATTATATATAATAGATACATGTAGGTATATATTATCTACTGCTAATGGAATCCTCTAACTACTTCTACATATATATATATATTATATTCTATGCAGTAGGTGTTTATCTCCTAATTGGTTACATGGCATTATTTTTTTCTATCATAGAACATAAGCCAGACCTTATTGCTAATCATCTCTAATTTTATGCTGACCTGAAATAGATTATATAATCTTTACATGGGAGGTGTTTTTTACTTCTATAAATAACAATCAATAGAAGTTTATCACTGCTTTTATTAATGACACAGAAATTCAATATGGCAGATTTTAAATATGTAAACAGAGTGGTTTGATTTCATTACAGGAACTATATTAATTGACACCATTAATATGTCCCCTGAGGTGGGAAAGACTACAGATAAAGATCGTGTGATGGTACATGAATTAGAAGAATCATTAGAAGATATGGGCGTTGAAAGAGATGCATTATTTGATGATATAAATGCCGCTAAATTTGATATGTCAGGTAAAATGCTATTATTTTATAATATTCTGAAAGTCCAAAAAATTATTGTTATAGGCTATATGCTGTTTAGTATCTTTGACTAGAGATGGGTCACTGGATCTCTTATTGAGTGGTACAAAAATTAAATACGGTACTCTGGTAACGATGCAGCTGTTCTGAGTTTAACCAGGGGTCTTTAACGTTTAAATAAAGAGTGTCAGTAACGGTATCAATGAAACCATTTAACATTTGTTTAATTATGTTCGTAAACTTTACATACCTATTACTCGAAAATTGTTATGGAGAAATTAGAAATGTTTTTTTCAATTCCCCTGCTAAAATAACGACTTTATTAATCCCAGATCTTGTGAAACTGGAGAGAGCTAAAGTGTTTCTCTCTGTCCATTGTGGGATTCTGTAAATTTTAACTCAATTTTGGCCCTTTTTCACTTAAAAGTTAGCAATGAAAATTCTGTTTGCTTGAGATATTTTATTTAGGTCAAACTATAAGGTATCTGATTCAAATTAAGTACGTACTAATTCATTGAAAATTCAGTTTTACAAATTTTATTCTGTACATATTATACGCCCACATTTTCATTTGGACGTATTATGCCGTCGCCCCAGTCCGTTCGGACGTCCGTCCGTCCACAATTGTTTGTGGACTCTCTACAGGTCACAATTCTTATCCAATTTCGACGAAACTTGAAATATAGGTTTATCCCCAAAAGATCTTGGCTGCTTTCGATATTGGCATGTATCGGATCGAAACTTCATGGATTATGGCTCCTGTTTGTACGAAAAATCACGTTTTTAGCTTGTGGACCCTATAGAGGTCACAATTTTTATCCGATTTTGTTGAAACTTGAAATGTAAGTTTATAACGCAAAGATCTCGGTTCCTTTCGATATTCGTGCATATCGGACCGTAACTTCCTGAATTATGGCCCCTGATTGTACGAAAAATCACGTTTTTAGCTTGTGGACCCTATAGAAGTCATAATTTTTATCCGATTTAAAAAAACGTTCTATTATATCACCGTTACACCCTAAGGATGACTGAGTTCGAATTTCGTGAAAATTGGTCCAAAATTGACAGACAAAATGGCCGCCATTCGTTCCCAAATAGTGTAAGAATATGGTATATCAAGGTTGTGGACCCTATAGGGGTCACAATTTTTATCCGATTTTGTTGAAACTTGAAATGTAAGTTTATAACCCAAAGATCTCGGTTCCTTTCGATATTCGTGCATATCGGACCGTAACTTCCTGAATTATGACCCCTGATTGTACGAAAAATCAAGTTTTTAGCTTGTGGACCCTATAGAAGTCATAATTTTTACCCGATTTAAAAAAACGTATTATTATATCACCGTTACAACCCTAGGGACAGACAGACAAAATGGCCGCCATTCGTTCTCAAATAGCGTAAGAAAATGGTATATCAAGGTTGTGGACCCTATAGAGGTCACAATTTTTATCCGATTTTGTTGAAACTTGAAATGTAAGTCTAAAATCCAAAGATCTCGGTTCCTTTCGATATTCGCGCATATCGGACCGTAATTTCCTGAATTATGGCCCCTGATTGTACGAAAAATCACGTTTTTAGCTTGTGGACCCTATAGAGGTCATAATTTTTATCCGATTTAAAAAAAACGTTTTATTATATCACCGTTACACCCTAAGGACGATTGAGTTTGAATTTCATGAAAATCAGCCCAAAATTGACAGACAAAATGGCCGCCGTTCATTCTCAAATAGCGTAAAAATATGGTATATCAAGGTTGTGGACCCTATAGAGGTCACAATTTTTATCCGATTTTGTTGAAACTTGAAATATAAGTTTATAACCCAAAGATCTCGGTTCCTTTCAATATTTGCCCATATCGGACCATAACTTCCTGAATTATGTCCCCTGATTGTACGAAAAATCATGTTTTTAGCTTGTGGACCCATTAGAGGTCATAATTTTTTATCCAATTTAAAAAAACGTATTATTATATTACCATTCCACCCTAAGGACAGTTGAGTTTGAATTTTGTGAAAATCGCCCCAAAATTGACAGACAAAATGGCTGCCGTTCGTTCTCAAATAGCGTAAAAATATGGTATATCAAGGTTGTGGACCCTATAGAGGTCACAATTTTTATCCGATTTTGTTGAAACTTAAAATCTAAGTTTATAACACAAAGATCTCAGTTCCTTTCGATATATGCGCATATCGAATTTTAATTTCCTGAATTATGGCCCTTGATTGTAGGAAAAATCACTTTCTTGTTAGCTTGTTCTCTATCCATCTCTCGAAAATGTGGGCGTATCCTGCCTGGCAGCCGCTGGTTTGGATTACATATTGACAGAAATGTATTTGCTGCATCATCCCTGTTATAATTGAATGTATTATACAATTTCTAGGGCTGGTAGGGGATATTTATTGCTTCAGCAATATTCTTCAAATGCTCGTTTAAATGCTTGTTGAAAATCAGTTAAAGAAATCATGTCATATTAACATTTGCATCATTTTGCTGGTCAAAATTTGTTCTGAAGAATCAAAAATACAATTTTTTTCAAAATGACTTCACTAAAATGCAACATAATTGGTGAAATTGAACCCACTTCCGATGAAAGCAAAATATTTTAATAAGTTTATAGAAATAACTTTTCATCACACCTTATTAACGTGTTAAAATCTGTCACGTTGGATAATTTTAATCTGATTTTGTCGGAATTGATATAGTGCACATGATATAATTTAACTTTTTTTAGCAATGCCACTTTCTTGTGATCGTTTTGTGTACTTTTTGTGTTTTGAGACATAATAACCCAGCTTCTAATTGAGTTAGAACGTCCAGACTTGCTGAAGGTTTAAATTTGGTGAATACCTCCACTATGTTCAATGATGATCATGTTTATAGATATTGGGTTTTATACGCCCACATGGAAATGTGGACGTATATTGCCGTCGCCCCCGTCCGTCTGTCGTCCAAAAGTTGTTATCAGATTGTTTTAAAATTGCTATATGTGGTTTACATTAATGAGATGAAGAAGCCTATCTAATTTCAATAATTTCTGTTCATTACGGCTAGAGTTATGGCCCTTGTTTCACTTTGTTGAACCTTGTGAAGGCTATTACGCCAAAAGTTATCATCCGATCTTTGTGAAATTTATATGCATTATTTAAATTAGTGAAAGGAAGAAGCCTTTTGAATTTCAACAATTTCCATTTATTACGTCTAGAGTTATGGCCCTTGTTTCACTTTATTGAACCTTGTCAGCTTGTGAATGCTCTAACGCCAAAAGTTATCACCCAATCTTTGTGAAATTTATATGCATGATTTAAATTAGTGAAACGAAGAAGCCTGTTGAATTTCAGCAATTTCCGTTGATTATGTCTAGAGTTGTGGCCCTTGTTTCACTTTATTGAACCTTATGAACGCTCTAACATCAAAAGTTATTTTCCGAACTTTCTGAAATTTATATACATTTTTTAAATTAGTGACATGAAGAAGCCTATTGAATTTCAACAATTTCTGTTTATTATGTCTAGAGTTATGGCCCATGTTTCACTTCATTGAACCATTTGAATGCTCTAACACCAAAAGTTATCACCCAATCTTTGTGAAATTTATATACATGATTTAAATTAGTGAAACAAAGAAGCCTATTGAATTTCAGCAATTTCCGTCAATTACTTCTAGAGTTATCACCCTTGTTACACCTTGGGAACACTCTAACACCAAAAGTTATCTGCTGATCTGTATGAAATTTACATGCGTCATTTAAATTCGTCAAGAGAGGAATCCTATTGAATTTCAGCAATTTCCGTTTATTACTTCTAGAATTATGGCCCTTGTTTCACTTTGTTGCACTTTGTGAACGCTATAACCTCTAAAGTTATCTACCGATCTGTATGAAATTTATATGTCCCATTTAAGTTAGTTAAAAGAACAATCCTATCGAATTTCAGCAATTTCCGTTTATTACGTCTAGAATTATGCTCGTTTCACTTTATTGGACCTTGTGAACGATCTAATGCCGAAAGTTATCATCGGATCTTTTTTTGTAATTTATATGCATTATTTAAATTAGTGAAACCACGAAGCCTATTGAAGTTCAGCAATTTACAATAATTACTTCTAGAGTTATGGCCCTTGTTGCACTTTGTTCAACCATGTTAATGCTCGATTGATGAATGTTATCCTCCAATATGTATGAAATTTATATGCATCATTTAAATTTGTGAAACAGAGGTCTATTGAATTTCAGCAATTTCCATCAATAATTTCTAGAGTTATGGCGATTGTGTACCTTGTGAACGTTTGAATGACAAAAGTGATCATCTGATCTGTATGAAATTTATATGCATTATTCAAATTAGTAAAACGAAAAAGCCTGTCAAATTTCAACAATTTCAGTAGATTACTTCCAGAGTTGAGACCCTTGTTTCAATTTGTAGAACCTTGTGAACCCTCAAACGACAAAATTTATGATCTGATCTGTATGGAAATGTATTGTAAAGGTCCCCAATTAAAGGAATAAATATGCGACGACCCTTTTCGATCGCTCGGACGATTTAGCTGCTGTGGGCGTATGTTTCGTTGCATGGCAACCTATCTTTATCTTATGTTGCAGTACCTAGATTATCTGATCCAGATATATATTATTCTAATAATAATGCTCATTAAAATGTAGTGTTCATCATCAATTATTACACGTCATTTACCCTACATTGGATTCAAATATGAAGTTGGGTTGGGATTTAGGATTCAATGCATTTTACTTTAAATATCACAGCATTATGTATATTGTAGTTCTTTTATGTAATTTGAAATACACACAAACAGTCATTTAGAAAATTCTGTTGTTTGATTATTTTAAAACTAACATTTATAAAATTGTCAACAGAAGTTTTGTGGTCATTAATTCTTTTCATTTTTTCTTTTTTTAAAACAGATTTGACTACCATGGAAATTCTTGAAAAAGACGTCAAATTAATCGAAAGTAGTAATTTAACAGTGGCCATGAGCTCAGTTACAATGGAAATAACGGTAAATGTTATTTATTGTCCCCCGCCTTTCGAAGAAAGCAGGGGACTATTAAAATGGGTTCGTCCGTCTGTCTGTCTGTCCGTCTGTCTGTCCGTCCGTCCGTCCGTCTGTCTGTCTGTCCGTCACACTTTTTGGGACACAATAACTCTCTTCCTAATTGAGCTAGAATGTTCAAACTTGGTGTATGTGTTTATTAGGTCAATGCCTTGATGGAGTTCGAAGATGAGCATTTTCCGCTTAGGGTAAGCAGAGATAAGCAATTTGATTGGTTGATGCTTTGGGACACGATAACTCTCTTCCTAATTGGGCTAGAATGTTCAAACTTGGTGTGTGTGTTGATTAGGTCAATGCCTTGATGGAGTTCGAAGATGAGCATTTTCCGCTTAGGGTAAGCAGAGATAAGCAATTTGATTGGTTGATGCTTTGGGACACGATAACTTTTAATTGAGCTAGAATGTTCAAACTTGGTGTATGTGTTTATTAGGTCAATGCCTTGATGGAGTTCGAAGATGAGCATTTTCCGCTTAGGGTAAGCAGAGATAAGCAATTTGATTGGTTGATACTTTGGGGCACGATAACTCTCTTCCTAATTGAGCTAGAATGTTCAAACTTGGTGTATGTGTTGATTATGTCAATGCCTTGATGGAGTTCGAAGATGAGGATTTTCCGCTTAGGGTAAGCAGAGATAAGCAATTTGATTGGTTGATGCTTTGGGACACGATAACTTTAGTTCTAATTAAGTGAGATTGATGAAACTTGGTGTATAGATTTATTATATGAATACCTTAACTAAGTTCGATAATGAACATTTTTTGCTGAGGGTAAGCAGAGTGATAAGCAATTTGATTGGTAGAAACTTTGGAACACAATAACTCTCCTTCTAATTGAGGTAGAATGTTCAAACTTGGCATAGGTGTCTATTAGGTGAATGTTTAAACTTGATGTATATGTAGATGTTCATTAGGTGAATGTCTTGACTGAGTTCAATAATTAAAATTTCGAGCTGAAGCTAAGCAGAGCTAATCGATTTCATTTGTCGATGGTTTGGGACAAGATAATCTTGATTCTATCTGATAGAGAGTGATGAAACTTAGTGAAAAAAATAAATGTGCGATTAATTAATATGTGTCATCTATTTATTTTGCAATTTCGGCGGGGGACATCAGCCTCACTGTTGGCTTGTTATATATTATAGTGAATTGTAGTTTAATAAATCTGTCCTAAACAGCAGCAATAGGGCAGTAAGAAATAGTACTAAAGTAGTATCAAACCCTGAAAATAGAGGTAAATAGACATAATTGTGAAGTCCAAGAAATTGACGGGACAAAAAAAATAAATGTTAGTTAAGGTATGTAAATGAAATATCGAAGGTAGTAGTCTATTTTAAATATTTGAAACTGATCTAAATCATAATTTGGATACTATGGTGGAACATTGTGTATAAATTCACACAATACATATTACTTGTACATGCCACTCAGTATTAATAGAGATATTAGCATTATTTACTATCACAAAGATTTACTGGGTGACATGGGATTTCTTGGGGAAAATGCCATAATTGTTTATAACGTGCCCTTCTTCAGTCTGCGTGAATTTCAAGCAGCCTGTCAGCTGTCAATTCGGGACGTTCCGGACTGTGACTCGAGCATCCCAGGTCGTCGGCACACAGTTCGAAGAGATCCGTATAGGTTATTCAGGTTCAATCGGCATGCCGACGAATGTTTCCAACAGGTGCTAGGAATATTTTTACGACTGTGAATTCGGGGGAAAATTTGAGGATATTCTTGAGTATTTGTCACAACTGTCGTACAAGAGATAAAAACTATCAAAGTAATATACAAAGACCCACGGTAGCGAGTTTTAATCTCACAGATAATTGATGGGTGATTTCTTGTTAATCTTTTGTGGCTTCAAACCCATCCAGTTTTAATCTCACGGATAATTGATCGGTAAGTGTTTGCTTCACACCCACCGATTGAAGGCCGAATTATACGGTGTCGATTCAATGGAAATCGTATGACAGGACGGCTGATTGATGTCGTAATCCGGAACGTACAGAGGTCGAATTACCCAGAGATTTTTTGGCTGAAGTAATAAGGAAATAAATCGAGACATGAAAATGGTGTCGGATGTAACAGAGTGCCGGAGTGATCAGAGGTCGGATGTGATAGAGTGCACTGTAATTCTATTGATTGAGAAACAGTCTTGGATGACTTATTTACCCCTGTAAGTTCCTGGATTATTGCCCCTGATGAAGATTGGGTTTGAACTTGGTAAAAATTGGACCGAAACTGCTCGACAAAATAATGTAAAAGGTCACAAATTTTGTCCGATTTTGATTAAACTTAATATATGTGTTTATATCCCAAAGATCTCACACTACAAATATGGTATCGTTTAATATGGGTTTTTTAGCGTTGGTTACTATTCATACCGTTTAATTTCAAAACCCCGTTCGATAATTGATAAAAATCGTTGAAGAATAACAAAAATGGTTATATTAGTACTATGGTTTAGATTAATGTCAACGGCTTTTGTTTCTTCGAGATGCGTTTAAAAATGGACTACCCGTGCACTTATCTTTGGCGTTCATTTATTGGACAAGCCGTTGAATTTCCCGAGATGCGTTTAAAAATGGACTTTCCGTTCAATTATCTAGGGCGTTCATTTATTAGACGAGCCGTTGAATTTCCCGAGATACGTTACATCGTGTTTTGCCACGCTTCCAAGGAATTCGCAAGAAGCTAGGGTCGAAATAATATTGTCTATAATTAATTGAAGGAGTTGTAATACAGTAATGCTGCCGCGAAAACGTGTACATGTATAATGTACAGGCCGGTTTGAATAACAACAAAATGAGTTAGGTAATCTCGGGAAAACATTTACCGGCATTCTGTATCGGTTAGGATTTTTATCTAACGCACTGTACATTCATATAACGTCGGCCAAAATGTATGCAACAATGAACAACTTACAATTTTTTAAAATGTATCATTACTTCTTCGTCTATAACTTAGATGTAATCCATCAATTATTGGCTGCTATGAAATCCAAACTTTAAATTATATACGTCATACGATGAGCTTTTACACATTACTTGCAGCTTCAGTTAATCTAAATCAATCATTCATAGAGCACAGTGCCGTAAATCACTCCACTCTGGGTTTGAACCCAATGTCAGTTCTCGGTAATGAACTTTGTTTATGCAAACGCAACACTTGTATTTTCTCACGATTTTAAGCAGTCTCATGTCACATGTTTTGCACGTGTATTCCCTGAACTCTGGCCCTTTAAATACAGATCAAAATTTCAACATTCATCACTTTGGAAAAATGCCACGTCTTACACAAGAAAACAGGAACAGAGCTATTGGCATGCTGGATCAGGGGGCTTCACAGGTAGCCATCGCCAGACACTTTAATGTTCACCCATCGACCACTGCTCGCCTCAGACAATGCTTCCATGCTGCTGGAAGAGTTGCTGATTGACCCCAACCTGGAGTGCCACCTGTAACAACCGCTGCTCAAGATCGCCACATCCGACTACAGCAGGTACTGCTACTGCCAGGGGAACTGTTGGAACACGGCAACGTCAGATCAACCCTCAAACAGTCCGTGGGCGCCTGGCTGCTCTTGGGTTACTCTGCCGTCTACCTTACCAAGGTCAAATCCACTCCACTGGAAGAGTTGCCAATTAACCACGACTTGGAGTTCCACCTGTAACAACCGCTGCTCAAGATTGCCACATCCGACTACAGCATCTGCGCAACAGGTTCCAGTCAGCTACTGCTACTGCCAGGGGAACTGTTGGAACAGTTGCCGATTGACCCCGACCTGGAGCGCCACCTGTAACTACAGCATCTGCGCAACAGGTTCCAGTCAGCTACTGCTACTGCCAGGGGAACTGTTGGAACACAACGTCAGATCAGCCATCAAACAGTTTGAAGGCGCCTGGCTGCTCTTGGGTTACGCTGCCATTGACCTTACCAAGGTCAATTCCATGCCACTGGAAGAGTTGCCGATTGACCCTGACCTGGAGCGCCACCTGTAACAACCGCTGCTCAAGATCACCACATCCGACTACAGCATCTGCGCAACAGGTTCCAGTCAGCTACTGCTACTGCCTGGGGAACTGTTGGAACACGGCAACGTCAGCTAGATCAGCCCTCAAACAGTCCGAAGGCGCCTGGCTGCTCTTGGGTTACACTGCTGTCGACCTCACCAAGGTCAAATCCTTTTGCATCGTCATCGACTTGCCAGACAGCAATGGGCCGCAAATCAGGGGTATCTGCACAACACACCATGACGAAATGTCATCTTCTCGAATGAATCCTGATTCAACCTCAGTTTTCCTGATGGACGTCACCGTATCTACCGACGTTGACATGAACGCTTTGCTCGTAACTGCGCGCTGGAAAGGGATCGTTTCGAGGGAGGTGGCGTCATGGCTTGGGCCGCTATCAACGTCAACTTCCGGTCCCAGTTGGTGGTGGTCCAAGGCAATCTCAACACTCAACATTATGTTGATGCCATCCTTCGTCCGGTGTTGCTTCCATTGCTGGCTCAACATGACGTCCGTCGACAGATAGATTTGCAGCATGACAACGGCCGACCACACACTGCCAGGTTGACAAGAGACTTTCCGATTAATCATCATGTCCGTGTTATGAATTGGCCCGCTATGTCTCCCGACATGAACCCGATCAAACACCTTTGGGATGAACTTGGACGACGTGTTCAAACTCAAGCCGTGCCACCACGAACTGTTGCAGAGTGGGCACAGGCACTCCAAAATCATTGGCAAACAATCCCACAGCGTGTAGTGAGATATCTGTGCCAGTCCATGCCAAGACAACTTCAGGCATGTGTAAGTGCTCGGGGTGGACATACCCGATATTGACTTCAGCTTTGTTTCATGGTTGTCTGACGTTTCGGTTTTGTGCATTTGTACTAGTGAATTTTTTCATGAAATTATCCACAGATGCTTGTTATCTCGATTTGTCAATTGTTATGTACATTTGTTAAAAGTTGTTGTAGTAAATAAACTTTGAATTTGGCATTGCGCTTTTAATGGCTTTGAGTGTATTTATACACTGTGTTTACACCTATATATAATCGTTTCGATTGACTTTAGATTGATACAGAGATTAAGGCCTTGAGACGAACAAGTATATTGATTTTCAATGATTTTTGGTAACTTAAACAGCTAATTCCATGATATTAAATGTTTTGTATACTAAACATTAGCATGGACCAAACAAATTTAATGATTTTCTAATAATTACTTAATGAGTTGTTAATCTTAATTAGATTTTAGTGTATTATAAATGTTTCATTACCGACAAAAGTAAAAATATGCGACAACTCTTGTTGACTGCACGGACGATTAAGTTGGTGTGGGCGTATGTTTCCTTGCCTGGCAACCAATCTTTTAATAAAGACGTAATTGTAAAAAGAAAAGTCAAAATCACAATGGATCTATTTTAGAAAAACTAAAATTTCTTATCGAAACTCAAATAACATTACAGGATGTGCATATTGGTACACACATTACTATGGGTGATCTTGCAAATATTAATGTTAAAAGTTATGTTTAGTTTTAATGATTATTCAATTGTCAGCCCAGAAATAATCTGGTTTTTTTTTAAAAGTGAAAATCAGTTTATGAAATAGAAAAAAACCCCACAGACTTGGTGTTTTGATCCTGCTGTTATCTCAGACTGAAGTTTTGATAATCTTCTGTAATTTACATACAGTAATATATTACATATACATCTATCAGATTCAGATGATCCGAAATATCAAAATACATTAATTTCCACTACATACACAATTAATTTACCAGATATAGTCAGAATTGACGTTTGTATAAAATTTATATCTTAGAAAATGTTTTATGGAAACGTTGACATTAAGAAATTAGAAGCCATTAATAGCTGTATATTTTGATGAGTTTAACATTGTTGGACTATTTTATATTTATCATTCAGTGAAACATATCACAACATCTGCTGATTAATATAAATAATAGATTAGCCTGGCATTTTGATAGAGTCACCTATGTTGTAAACTTGTATTACAAATATATCTTTGGATTAAATCCTTATCAAAACATCAACTGAAATATTGGGAAAATTTAAAGTATATATCGGTTATTTTTTTTGCGATGAAAGTATAGCAATTTTGGTAAATAAATTCTTATTGAGACATTTATTCACATGACAAGCCAATAATCAACTCTCTAGACAAGCGAATGGCAGAGATTTAAAAATTGAACGATAAAATGGATAATCAAAACTTAATCGCAATTGTCCAGACTGTTGATACGATAATAAAAAATCCAAACTACAAACACTCACAACTTCGCTTAGAATAAAGTAATTTGAATATATTTTCAATAATGTTCATATTTCATTATCTATTTTTGAACTATTATAGCAAGAACAACCAGCTTTTTATCTAATTCTTCCATAATATATCTTTAAAATGTTTTGAGAGGAATTTGAAGCACTTTTTTTAGTAGAATTATATTTTAAAATTACACAATTTGTATGCAGAAAGGCATCTTTGAGAAAAGTAAAAAAACGATTTTTATACACCCATATTGAAATGTATCCAAATATATAAAGAAAGAGGAATCCAAAACCATTTGAATAACATAAACTTAGATGGGATCGAAGTCATAATAAACTTAATACAGTGACACTAGTAGTAGGAGAGGTTAAAAACAAAGTCATGGGTATCACAAAACCATCTTTTATAGTATCTAACGTTTCGTAAGTCTAAAAACCTACTTCTTCAGAGAAAACAAGCTACACATTGTCGTCGCCTCCGTCGGTCCAGCATCCATAATTACTTGTGGACGCTCTAGAGGCTAAAGTTAATATCCCTTTGACTTAAGATTTATACACAATGTTTTCAATGATTTCCGTTAATTACTGCCAGAGTTATGGCCCTTGATCACTTTGAAAAATCTTGTGTACGCTCTACAGGCTAAAGTCAATATCCGATTGACTTTAAATTTATACACGGTGTTTAAGGTTGTGAGACAAAACAGCCCAGTGATTTTCAATGATTTCCGATAATTACTACTAGATTTATGGCCCTTTGATCACTTTGAAAAATCTTGTGGACGCTCGAGAGGCTAAAGTTAATATCCGATTGACTTTAAATTTATACACAGTGTTTAAGCTCATGAGACAAAGAAGTCTTTTGGTTTTCAACGATATCCGATAATTAATGTCAGAGTTATGGCCCTTGATCACTTTGAAAAACGTAAATAATTGGAAGGAATGTGTCTTTTAAAAGAAAATTTAAAAAATGAATCCTAGAAAATTATTACGCTTAGAATAATATGAATAATATTAGGACAATTATCAACAGATTCAAACATAGTTTTAAATCAGTTTGATAATTTGTTTATAAGACAACCCAATCAGTGAAACTGGTGTTGCTCGTCAGATGTGAAATGAAAGGATATGAGAATTTATTTTTTTTGGTAGTCATTTATTTCTTTTATATTGGTACATGATATTAAAATTTGTGTTGATATTATTTTTATTTAGTGACTATAAATAATGGTACATGATCATGATGTTACAATCTGTGAACTTGATCATGTATTGGTACAGGATATTTAATCTTGTTATTAACTTTGCAGGATCTATTTGCTAGAGAAAATCTGGAAACTGAGCTAAAGAAATCTGCTGAAATTTTTGGTGCTCAAGTTGTTGTTTTGATGACATTAGGCAAAAGTGATGATGTTACAAACCGTCAGTTAGCATTATATTCAGACAGTCGTATATATAGACAACAGGTTAGTCATTCTAGTTTTTATACGCCCACATTTTCATGTGGACGTATATTGTCGTCGCCCCTGTCCGTCCGTCCACAATTGTTTGTGAACAGTCTACAGGTCACAATTTTTATCCAATTTCAATGAAACGTGAAATATAGGTTTATCACCCTAAGATCTCGGTTCCTTTCGATATTGGCATCTATCACGTTTTTGGCTTGTGAACACTGTAGAGATGTAAGTTTATAACCCAAAGATCTCGGTTCCTTTCGATATTCGCTTATATCAGACCATAACTTCCTGAATTATGGCCCCTGATTGTACGTAAAAACGCGTTTTTTGGCTTGTGGACCCTATAGAGGTCATAATTTTTATTATTATATCACCGTTACACTCTAAGGATGACTGAGTTCGAATTTCGTGAAAATCGGCCAAAAACTGACAGATAAAATGGCTGCCCTTCATTCTCAAATAGCGTAAAAATATGGTATATCAAGGTTGTGGACCCTATAGAGGTCACAATTTTTATCTGATTTTGTTGAAACTTGAAATGTATGTTTATAACACAAAGATCTCGGTTCCTTTCAATATTCGCGCATATCGGACCGTAACTTCATGAATTATGGCCCCTGATTTTACGCAAAAACGCGTTTTTTGGCTTGTGGACCCTATAGAGGTCATATCTTTTATCCGATTTAAAAAAACGTGTTAATATATCACTGTTACACCCTAAGGACGGTTGAATTTGAATTTCGTGAAAATCGGCCCAATACTGACAGACAAAATGGCCGCCGTTCATTCTCAAATAGCGTAAAAATATGATATATCAAGATGGTGGACCCTATAGAGGTCACAATTTTTATCCGATTTTGTTGAAACTTGAAATGTAAGTTTATAACCCAAAGATCTTGGTTCCTTTCGATATTCGCGCATATCGGACCGTACCTTCCTGAATTATGGCCCCTGATTGTACGAAAAATCACGTTTTTAGCTTGTAGACCCTATAGAGGTCATAATTATCATCCGATTTAAAAAATCGTATTATTATATCACCGTTACACCCTAAGGACGACTGAGTTCGAATTTCGTGAAAATCGGCCAAAAACTGACAGATAAAATGGCTGCCCTTCGTTCTCAAATAGCGTAAAAATATGGTATATCAAGGTTGTGGACCCTATAGAGGTTACAATTTTTATCCGATTTTGTTGAAACTTGAAATGTAAGTTTATAACTCAAAGATCTTGGTTCCTTTCGATATTTGCGCATATCGAATTGTAATTTCCTGAATTATGGCCCTTGATTGTAGGAAAAATCACTTTCGTTTTAGCTTGTTTTCTATCCATCTCTCGAAAATGTGGGCGTATCCTGCCTGGCAGCCGCTGGTTATACTAGATGTTGTATGAAATTATTTATTTAAAGGACTGTGCTCGCTTGGTTCTGTTATATATGTTATCTTTAGGTAGGTATATATATATATATATATATATATATATATATATATATATATAAAAAATGATTCTTCCATTTCCTATTAAATATGTTCAATCAATGTTTGCCAGACAGCCAACAATCATTTTCCCTTTTAAATTAATAAAAAAATGAACTTAAAAATGTTCTATATAGATTTTAATTTATATGAACAAATCAGAAAACAGGTTACAGACATGTAATTCGATGCCATCTGCAGCTTGATGTTCGAGGATGGAATGAAACGAGGAGTTGAGGACTAACGAAAAGAAAAATATGGCAGCATAAAATCAATAGAAAATAATGAGAATTTAGATGGAGCATTCGGACCAATGCGCATTTTATTTGGCTTGTTAACTTAAACCAGGCCGGATTGACTTTTGCATGAATCTGTACGTAGTCCCTATAAACCTTTTACAAAAATAAGAATAGATGAAAATTTGTTTACTAGTTGAATAATATTGATTCAATACTGTTAGTTTTGTTTATTAAAATGAATGAATGAACATCCTACATTTCTGCTGCAAGTGACCTAATGAAGACAATTATTAAAATTAAAGCTTATTCTATTTTATATTGTACGGTACACTATATGTGACTATTTAATTGATACAACACCACGATAGTGACAATATCGTCTGCCATGACAGTTCTAGCATATTGATTTTTTATTTTACAAACAAGTTAGTAATACACTTGATTAATTTGAAATAGATGGAATCTGAAAATAAGATCAGAAAAATAATGATGGTGTAAATAGGAAAAAGAAAAATCTCTGTTTTGAAATGTTCTGGTTTCAAATTGTTGTATACAGTAATAAATGAATCCACAGATGTAATAATTATTATTGGCGGCATAGATTTATTTGCAAACTTAAAAAATAAACACAAGTTACTTAACAAAAATCTAGTAAGATATCAATTTCCTGTTCATTATCAGTTCTATATGTTTATTGCTGCAGCAAATATTGGACAATACTGTCAACAGGGGATGCATGTTATATATGGGGGGGGGGGGGGGGGTTACATGGGTGTTTACAGTACTTGATTTTTTAAACTTTAAACAAAGTTTAATTTTGATATTATATAGAATGCTCAAACTTCAGCATACTTTACATTTTCATTTTAAGCCCTAAAATTTCAGAATGCTTCAGAAAATTTGTCTATTCTGAAATTACAATTTTTGTATTTTTTCCGTAATCTATTTATTATACATATATCCTTGATTTGAGTATTTGTGCATAAGTTACCAGACTTAAATCAAAGATATATGTATAATAAATCAAAAGTAAGATGGAAATAATGTTGATTGATTTGTGAGATGACAACCTGTCTTTGTTTTAAATTTTACATCTATAGATAAACCCGGTGTTGAGATAAAACCAATTTTGTGTTCTACAAAGTAATTCAAAATTTAAACTGAAATTGCTGCATGTTCTTTCAAAACAAAAGTTTAATTGTATAGAGCTTGTCACACTACTAATTAAAATAACACTTCAGATTAGATTTAAGTTTGCGTGAAATTTTATGGCTTGTCAATGTTTTATTTTAGGTAATTGTTCGTAAATGTCAGTATGAAATTTAGAATATTTGACATTCAGTAATTATATCTACAGTATATTTCTTTTCAATTCACTTCTAAAATTGAGACCACATTTCACTTTCAATATTTCAATTTTAGCAAAAGTAAGAGTAAACTCTGATGGCTGGTTATACAGTTATTAGATTTGGTATATTATATATACATGTAGGATAAGAAGAACAGAGTTTAACATCTTGGCAAGACAATACTTAGGTCATTTTCAGACTAACAATCCAATTTATTTTTGTTTTATTTTGATTGGCCCACATGCAATGCTAGTTAGGAGAATTTGTCTAAACAGCTGCCTAGACAGTGGCATTTCTGCCAATCTTTATTAAATTCGAACTGTGAACAGTTCTTTTAGATGACTAGACACACTTTTCTCATTACGGTAGTCCCTGAGAGTAGGAACCCAGCTTGAAAAATCCATATAGGTTATAAGCTTCAGTGATAATCATTATTTTTACTTGTATATTTTCAGATAGCGGATGTATTACTGGCTTACAATGATCCCAGTTTAAAACTTGAAGTCAGAGACTCACCTTTTGAAGACATTGTTTCCTATAACCAAGGCAATGTACAGGCATCTAGAAAGAAAGTTTTACCAATAATTAAAGGATTTTTAAATGGAGAACAAACACCAGAAGACAGTAGCAGTCAAGTCCAGTCAGCAATAAATTCTAATGAACGTGTAAGTTCCTCTTCTGTAATTGGTGCCATGGCTGACTCGGGCAAAGGTGAGAGTGATCATGAACAACATATTCTCAGTAATGAAACAATGTCTCCGGAAATGACAGATATATTTGATCCATTTAGCCCTCAGTCAATTACAGCTGAAAATGCTGATAGAGATACAAACCAATCTGATTTATTTCAAGACTTCGATAACATAGGCTCTAAAAACAATCACCCTTCAAACGACTTGTTACAAACTAATGATATCAATAATACGTCAGTGCTAAAAGATCACATCAATAGAGAAACAAGTGGGCCAAATTCTAATAGTAGTCTTGATGTTCATGAGACTGGTAATGACCCCTTTGGTATTGAAGTGACGGTTAATGAGAGTTCATTGTCAGCTAATCAGGTGAACCCAGATAACACCAATAATACCAACCGTTTTGAACCACCAGAAGGAGAAGACATCTTTGAACTAACAGAAGCTGACATGTACAACCAAGGTGCTAATAGTTATATATTTGGAACAGAAAGTCCCATGGAATTTACGTCTGCACCCAATTCTCAACCAGGATCAAGAGTATCAAGTTACCCTGTCACTCCACCTAACAGTTTTCTTGATGCCAGTTTTTTGGGCAAACAGCATGATTTACCAAGTTTTAACAATTCAGAAATGGTGCAGATAATCAAAGCTAAACAAGCTTCTATTGGAGTAAGTTATTCTGAAAATAATGATACAGATGAAAAAGCAGAACCGTATGCGCCAGCAAATAGTTATGCGGGTTCAAGTTTTGATAGTTACCTGAAAGAGACAAATCTTCCAAGCTTTCAGAATACTGATCTTGTTCAAAAAGTTTGTCAAAAGAGGGCGTCTCTGGATATCAGTGCAGCTTCTGGAAGTGATAATCTGAACATTGACCCTTTTCCATTTACACCACACAACAGCTATATGGACAGATCTCTCGATCAGTTTGCACTAAGTCAATTATCTAGTCAAGATCTGTCCAATAGATTGGAGCATGAACAGCAGGATATTGAGGCTGATCAAGATTTACACAGTAACTTTCAAAGCTTTCAAGATTTTGGTATGGATGACATTGCACCAATAGCCTCATCTTCTGCTGCTAGAGTATTTGATCTGGGTTCAAAACAGTCAACCCAATCTGATTTATTGAATATGGGTTACAGTAGATCTGTGTCATCAGATACAGAATCATCAAGAGACATTGATTCACCTGAAGAATCAAGTATAAACCCTATGGCATTACCACCAATGAACCAGAACAATCCATTTTTGCCTGAAGGGCAAGGACATTCCCAGTTTGATAATTCTCAACAAATGTCTTCATATACAGATGATTTCGATCTTGATCCACTGAAGAGTTCTCCACCAACATTGCAAGGTCAAAGTTCATTAGAATTACTGAATGGTTTGATGGATAGTACACAAGGAGAAAATGTGGTTGCCAATCAGCTGGTGGGTGATATTCAGACAAATAGCATTACTTTTGGAGATATGGACAATTTTCTGATGGATAATTCCTCTGGAAACAATAGTACTGTTTTGAACAATGCTTTGTTAGAAAACACTGCAGATGAAAACGTGGTTGCTAGTCAAATAATAACAAATTCAAATTCAACAATCGGTACTTTTGAAAACTTTTTATTAGGAAACCCATCTTGTGAAAATGTCATTGCTGAGCGGATGGCCCAGCAAAATGCAACACATTTAGAAGATGAAATCAAAAAAGTGTCAACAACAGAAAACAAAGACATCTTTGATCCCTTTTCATCTAGTCAATCAGATAAAAACGTACTTATTTTACAAGGCCAGAGTTCTTTAGAGCTTTTGACTGGGCTAACAGAGAATGATTCCTTCGAAAATCAATATCCTACTCAGGATAATATGAACAATATGCTGCTAGAAAGCCCAACTAGTGAAAATATTGTTGCTAGTTCAATAGCTGAACAAATATCAATAGATTCAAACAGAGTTTTAAATCAGTTAGATAATTCGACAATAGACATCCCGATCAGTGAATCTGGTTTTGCTAGTCAGATAAGAGAAGAAATTATAGAAGGTACTAATACCGGAGTTAATTATTTAAATAACTCTTTATTAGAGAGTTCACTAGATGAAAATGTTGTTGCTAGTCAGATGAGGGAAGAAATGGCTGAAGATACCAGTAATGGAGTCAGTTATTTACATAACTCTTTATTAGAGAGTTCACGAGATGAAAATGTTGTTGCTAATCAAATTGAAGCAGAAATGTCAATCGATGCTGATAAAACCACCAATAATGTGAACAACAGATTTTTAGAAAGTGCAAAAGAGAATAATATTGATGCTAGCCATATTGCAGAACAGATGGCAATGGATGCTGATGTTGATACAAACAGTGACTCTTTATTAGATGGTTCATTCAATAAAGATCCAGTCGCTAGTCAGATGTCAGATAAGGTATTGGATGCTAACACAATGCTTGAGGATTTGGATAGTGTATTGGCTAGTGCCTCTAGCAGTGATACTAGCAACATGATGACTTCAGATACTTTTCAGCCTTTCACATCAGGTGAAGAAGAGTTTATAAATAATATTCCTGTCTTTGATCCATTCTCAACTATTAAAAGTGAAGAAAATTTGGTGAGTCCTGATGACAGAATTGAATTTAGTCCATCAAATGAACAATTGAAACCTGTGACTAGTTTATCTTTTAGCCCGTTTACCAGTGAACCAGATAGTGAAAGAGTCCATCCATTTACCAATGTTCAAGAAAATATGTCTGTTCAACAAGAAAAGGATTTTGATCCTTTCAGCACAATAACATCAGATGGTCAAAATCTTGTATCTGGTTTTAATGATAATTTTGAAGATTTTGCCAAAGGAATGAGTTTTGAAAATGCAGGGTTTGAAAGCAACTTTACCAGCGATGAAAAACCTGAAGCAGATTGGTCCATTTCAAATGATGATGATCCTTCTACCCAACCCGAATTGCTGGATAAGAATTATAACAACACAGTCATTGATCCCACAGAACCATTGAACACCGATTTTGTTGAATATGTGCCATCTTTAACATCTTCTGGTAATATCCCTCAAAATTTGGAAACAGCAGACCAAAAAAACGTTGCGATATCTAATGCACCACCTAACATTGAAACAGGAATTTTGAAAGAAAGTAACCACTCATTTGAAGACGTCTTGGATAGACCCATTCTTCAATCTACTCAATTTCAAGATACTGAAAAGTCTGTTGTCCACCAACCAAGCATACAGTCGGACCTATCCACCAGTTTCGAATGTAATGAAGGAAATAGTGAAAGTTTTTCAGATGTGTCATCAGTTGATAATAAGAATACAAAAGATTCTTCAGAACAGTTTCAACCAGAAACGTCTTTGATGGGTGCTAATGTAGCCAGGACATCTGAAAATCTGGAAGGATTAGAAGAAAAGGAGAAAGACCTAGAAAACACATTCACTGGCAAGAGCGAGTTGGATAAAATTAAGACTAGGGAATTAGTTCATCAACCAAGTATTCAGTCAGATCTTTCTACTAGTTTTGAGGACAAGAGTTCTGAGGCTTTTAGTAGTAATGCAGTGTCTCCAGAAGAAGAGAACCCTACTGCAAATCTTGTCAATTTTGAAGATACATCTGATAATTTCCATATGAACCTAGCGGAGACACCATTGCCTGTTAAAGAAAATGTTACAAAGTCAAATGTTATTTCTAATGAAAATGAAATCAGATTTAAAGAACCAGACACCGCAACAATAAGAAGCAGTATGTCTGAAGAAGTTATAGCTTCAAAATCTGTTGGATTTGCAGCATTTTCTAATGATGACAGTAGTGATAACAGTAAGTTTGTAGTTGGTGATACATCAGAAGATGAATTTGAAGGTAAGAAAAATGTTGGATTTTCAACATTTAGCATTGATGAAGATCCTGATAATGTCAAATGTGTTGGGTTTTCTACAGACATATTTGATGATAATGAGTGTGATAACATGGCAAGTCCTGACAAACAAGTAGATCCAGCATTAAATGAAGAAATATTGAAAACATCAAGTGCATTAGTTGAAACAGCCTTCAGGGAAGCAATTGATATAGAAAGAGCACATATACACAAACAGAGTATGAAAAATGAAGTTGAACCTCTTCCTTCTGAAAGTGAATCAGAAGAATTAGAAGGTTCAAGTAATTCAATAAGTAATAATATTGAAGACTCTCCTAATGAAGATGCTGATACCATTGACAATGAAATTGAAGAAAACATTTCAGAGGCTGCTGTCAGTGAAGTAGCTTTTTCATTTGCCAATGAACTTATTAAAGAAGCACTTGATAATTATGATGAGGTTATGGAACCAGTCGTAAACCATGACAAGGAAGAGGAATCAACTCCAAAACGAAATCCACCTTTGGGGATGAAAAATGCAAATAATTCACTGTCTTTGGAAACCGACTACTTACCTGGAATGGACCCATTAAGAGGAAGTTTAGACATATATTCAGCTGCTGATCATTCCACAACCATATCCACAGATGCTCATAGAGAAGTGGCTGAAAGCGTCAGTTTTAGAAAAATAAGTGGTGATGAGTCACCAAGCAAACAAAAAGAACTCCTAGATAAGTTACGAAAAGATGCTGAGGAAAATAAACATGATGAGGAAATGTTGAATGAAGAAAGAAATGATGCAAGTTCAGAATACAGTCAGGAGACATCAGAACAGAGTAGTTCTGATTGGAAAAGTAATGAAAATAGTCTTATTGAAAACATCTCTACTGGGTTTGATTCTAATGAGACAGAAATTTCGGCTGTTCCTCCACATGTAAATATAACAGCACCATCTTCACCAGAGGAACTAGATTTTGAACCTACCAATGAACTCAGACCAGCAGCAGAGAACAAGCTTATGGAAAATAAAATGAATGAAAATGCAATAATACAAACATCCGAACAACCAATAGAACACAATGAGCCTAATCTTGAAAACCAAATTGATTCAGAACCAAAAAGAGTATCAAAAGTTGAAAAAACAATAGTTAAAGTTAGTAATGCTGCAAATGAATCAATATTTGGTAGTGAAATAGATGACTTCAGTAAAGAAACAAGAACCATTGATGACAGTAACAAATCTGCACCTACATCTGAAGATCATAAGTCAGAAGCTGAAGAGGGATGTTTTTCTGATCTCACAGATAAAGAAAAGAAAGAAGTGTATATGACAAGTGCTGGAAGAATTAGTATTTCAGTTGATATGAAAGACAATATTGATAGTGAGGCCGATGATAATAGTCCAACCATTGATCCCAGAAGCGATAGTGAACATCAACAGGTAGGACATTTAGTTAGCCAGACTGGTGTGTTGCTTGAGCATGTGGATGTCGAGTTAGCCATGTTAAATGAGAAACCTTCACCCATTTCACCTTTTGTGCCTCAGGTTTGTCTTCTATGTTAACTTTTTGTGTCACACTGTTTTTCACTGCTTTTAACAAATTTACAGCCAGACGTGATTTTAGCGAAGATTCATAATTACCCCCAATTTGATATCAGACTTTTTATTCGCACACTTTTTCATGTGGACATATATTGTTGTCACCCCTTTCCTTAATGACGTCCGTCCGTCTGTCCGTCCGTTCACATTTTGTTTGTGGACACTACAGGTCACAATTTTTATCCGATTTTGACGAAACTCAAAATATAGGTTTATATCCCAAAGATCTTGGTTCCTTTCAATATTGGCATGTATCGGACCTAACTTCCTGGATTATGGCCCCTGATTGTACGAAAAATCAGGTTTTTTAGCTTGTGGACCCTCTAGAGCAGGGGTGTCAAACATGCGGCCTGCAGGCCAGTTCCAGCCCGCCAAGGGTTTAAATGTGGCCCGTGGAACAAATTTCAACAAACTGACATGTCGATAATTCTTAGAAACTAGCGGTGGAATTCATTTATTATTGTTTTCCGATTTCAGTCTGTCCGTTGACATTTTGTTTGTGGACACTACAGGTCACAATTTTTATCCGATTTTGACGAAACTCAAAATACAGGTTTATATCCCAAAAATCTTGGTTCCTTTCAATGTTGGCATGTATCGGACCTAACTTCCTGGATTATGGCCCCTGATTGTACGAACAATCACATTTTGAGTTTATGAACTATCTAGAGGAGGTCACAATTTTTATCCAATGAAACTTAAGATGTATGTTTATATCCCAAAGATCTCAGTTCTTTTCGATATTCGGAGCGTAACTTCCTGGATTATGGCCCATGATTGTACGAAAAATCAGGTTTTTAGCTTGTGGACCATCTAGAGCAGAGCTGTCAAACATGGGGCCCTCAGGCCAGTTCCGGCCCGCCAAGGGTTTAAATGTGACCCGTGGAACAAATTTCGACAAACTGACATGTCGATAATTCTTAGAAACTAGCGGCGAAAATCATTTATTATTAATTTCCGATTTCAGTAAAACTCTGACTTCTGTACTGTATGTCATAGATATCTAAGTTGTATGTAATACAAGAGAACGTTGTGTTCATTATTATATAGTGATGGTCCGATAATTGGTTTCAACATCGGTAATTGGACGATACTCTGTCATTTTGCCGATACTGGAGTCGCCGATATCTGTTCAAAAGGACTCAGTAAATAACTCTAAAATATCATTTGAGTTGTGAACAATTAAATAATTATTTTGCTTGACACTTTGTACTTATTTTTTAGTTGCCGTGCGCGTGACTATTTAGACATAATACAAGAATCTCATAGAGGCAGTAAAATGAAATAATAAACTGCAAAATTCTTACCGGTCTACTGACATGTCGATAATTCTTAGAAACTAGCGGCGAAAATCATTTATTATTAATTTCCGATTTCAGTAAAACTCTGACTTCTGTACTGTATGTCATAGATATCTAAGTTGTATGTAATACAAGAGAACGTTGTGTTCATTATTATATAGTGATGGTCCGATAATTGGTTTCAACATCGGTAATTGGACGATACTCTGTCATTTTGCCGATACTGGAGTCGCCGATATCTGTTCAAAAGGACTCAGTAAATAACTCTAAAATATCATTTGAGTTGTGAACAATTAAATAATTATTTTGCTTGACACTTTGTACTTATTTTTTAGTTGCCGTGCGCGTGACTATTTAGACATAATACAAGAATCTCATAGAGGCAGTAAAATGAAATAATAAACTGCAAAATTCTTACCGGTCTACGTTATTTTTTTGTCCCCCACCTTTTGAAGAAAGCATGGGACTATTTAAATGGGTTCGTCTGTCTGGAATATGGAATAAGCCCATTGCATGATGATCAAAATGATAGACTTAGGCAATGCAACAGTACGTCGCGGAAGCCTTTCTTCGATCCCATTTCAGTGCATGCTGATATTGTACGTCATCATGCAGTGGACTTATTCCCGTAAATCTACAAACTGGTTGTTCACAGGGAGTAGATCCAGTAAGTTGCCTTTGTGAAAATAGGCCACGTGGCAAATGAAGACAATTCAAACAATTAGCACATTTACAGGTAATTTTGATAACCCTGTAATACTTAACCAACTGATCGCCCAAACTATTCTCTATAAGCACAGAAATGCGAATGATGCCATTCACTTGTCAATATATTCATTATTAGCTATATATTAAAAATAATCACCATTTCTATACACAAGAAACAACTTTGTCACAACTCCATTTGAAAAGCCAATCGACTCTGGGAATTTTGTTACTTTATCTGGTTCCATGCCATATAAGGCATTGCATACTACAGACGTAGTTACTAAGGTTTATTTTTGGCGCGAAAATTGTACAGGATTCATGGACATAAGAAAAACACCTGATAATATGTGGCGTCTGTGATGTATTTTGGTGAGTCATTCAGCTGGAAATAAAATAACTTTGTATAAAGAAGATAAACGATGTTAGACATCATAAACTAACCTTATCACAAACGTTTATCCATCGAATGATTTAAATTCAGATTTCATATCAAGTCAATTAAATGTTGTCTAAACATTAAAATCATAACACCAATCAATAAACAATATGAGTATACTTTATTACAAAAACATCGGTAAACTAATCTAAAATCTAAAATCATAATGCCAATGACAAATGAGTATATTTTATTACAAAAATATTGGTGAACTAATCTAAAATCATAACGTCAATCAACAAACAATACGAGTATACTTTATTACAAAAACATTGGTGAACTAATCTCGGCCGTGATCGGTCTACTAAGCTAAAAAAAATTATAAACAATCAACAAGTAAAACTTATTTATTGCATACAATTAAAGTGTGTACCAGTCAAGTATTAGTTATGGACCAATGGACAAGTTTGCTTATGGACGAGTTAACTGGCACCTTGATCACTGTCGCTGATGTGAAATAGTTAGACTACTAATGTATACATGTACATTGTTCTAAATTATAATGCTATCATAGGAAATGGCAATATGACGCATGTGTTGTGGATGTTTTGCTATGAAAAGAGTGCATTTACTACGATTTTCGTCTTCAGCACCCTTGAAAACCTAAAGATGAAAATATTAATATTAAACGACAAAATAACGAATGATTTAATGGCATGGTTGCTGTGTGATATTGTTTTAGAACATACCGACACCTTTAACTTGCTTTTTCAAAAAACTGCAGATGTCTGTGCATTCAATTCATTTGCAACTAACTGAGAGCTCTCACGACCGCCCTTTTCCATTCTCGGACGTTAAAAATTCACCCATGCCCGATGAATTAATAAATTAAATTCTTGTAATGCAATTATATCCACTGTAAATAGCGTTTGTTTACAGTTATCTATACACTGGTATCGTAACCGTACCATACGAAAAACTCCATAGTATATACAATGGCTATAATAACTCCTTTCAATTAAGGTGTATTGAATATGTAAAATGATAAATATTCGTTGCATCGACACAAAACCATGTTTTTCTTATTCAGGGCCCCCAAAAACCTCTAAAATGATATACTATATATGAAAGAGTATCAAGTATAAGAACTCCAATAATTGCCAGTTTGGTGGCCATTTTGAAAAACAAGATGGAGGATACAGTCCGGTCAACCCCTGATGCTACATATAAAATGACATTGCACCAGACGGTTACAAATATACGGTGAAAAAAAACAAAACAGAATTGTCATTTTGGTCGATATTGTCGGATAAAATTTTACTACTACAAATTATCAAACAAAATGGAGGGTATTATAGGATTGACTCTTATACTGCATATTACATATAAAATGACATTGCACCAGACGGTTACAAATATACAGTGAAAAAAAACAAAACAGAATTGTTATTTTGGTCGATATTGTCGGATAAAATCTTACTACTACAAATTATCAAACAAAATGGCAGGTATTATAGGATTGACTCTCATACTGCATATTACATATAAAATGACATTGCATCAGACGGTTACAAATATACGGTGAAAAAAAAACAACAGAATTGTCATTTTGGTCGATATTGTCGGATAAAATTTTACTACTACAAATTATCAAACAAAATGGCGGGTATTATAGGATTGACTCTTATACTGCATATTTTTTTGATGTAGCACCCCTATAACCCCATACAATGACATTAATAAACACATAACTTGTGAAAACTCGAAAATTTGTCATTTTGGTGTCCGTTTTGAAAAAAAAAGGATGGCGGACATTGTCGGATGAAATTTTTACTACAATTTTCGTCTTGGTATATCAATGTTGTGGACCCTCTAGAGGTCACAATTTTCTTCTGATTTTGATGAAACTTGAAAGGAAAGTTTATAACCCAAAGATCTTGATTCCTTTCGATATTCGCGCATAACAGATTGTAACTTCCTGAATTATGGCCCCTGATTGTACGAAAAATCATGTTTTTAGCTTCACGTCCGGAGGTCACAATTATTATCCGATTTATAAAAACGTTCATATATATCATCGTTACTCCGTAATTTTGGCTGAGATCGAATTTTGTGAAAATCGGACTAAAACTGCTGGACAAAATGGCTGCGCCTCGAATGCAAATAGTGTATAACATCTGGTATATCAAAGTTGTGGACTCTCTAGAGGTCACAATTTTGATCCGATTTTGATGAAACTTGAAATACATCTTGATAACCCAAAGATATTGGTGCCTCTTGATATTAGCACGTACCGGATCATAACTTCCTGAATTATGGCCCCTGATTGTACGAAAAATCGCATTTTTAGCTTGTGATCCCTCTAGAGGTCAGATTATCCAATTTAATAAAACGTTCGAATATATCACCGTTACACCACCATAATTTTGATTAAGTTCGGATTATAAAAAACGTTTAAATACATCACCATTCCACCATAATGAATGTTGAATTCGATTTTCGGGAAAAAAGGAATGAAGCTGCCCGACAAAATGTCTGCTCTTTGTACGCAAATTGTGTAA